TGGCTTTCACCGCGGCAGAGGCAGAGCTACACCCCCGGCACCTGAGACCTGGGCCCCGGCACCTGAGACCTGGACCCTGAGACCTGCACCCTGAGACCTGAGACCTGGACCCTGAGACCTGGACCCCGTTTCCACAACAACAACAATGTATTCTTGTATTTCCCTAAATCACAACAGCATCATCTCAGAGACTTCACAAAACCATTGAAATCACAGATCAGAGAATCAACAGAATAAACACAGAAAATACACATATGAGTTGGTCCATAGGGAGAGACCAACATCCATGAATGTTGATAAATGTCATACATGTTGATAAATGTCATACATGTTGATAAATGTCATACATGTTGATAAATGTCATACATGTTGATAAATGTCACACATGTTGATAAATGTCACACATGTTGATAAATGTCATACATGTTGATAAATGTCACACATGTTGATAAATGTCACACATGTTGATAGATGTCATACATGTTGTAGAATGTTAAAGTGTCGTGGATCATCACATCCTTCTAGTTGTACACTAACTGTCCAACAGACCCTCCTGCATCAGAGGAACAACTCTTAAAAAACCCAGAGGGAAAAAGGGAGAAACCTCGGGGAGCAACGCGAGCAACGCTCGACTTGGTTGATACGACACTAACGTGTCTTGGAGATAAGAAGGAGCCAAGCCATTTATGGCTTTATATGTTAAGAGAATGATTTTAAACTTTATTCTGTACTCCACAGGGAGCCAGTGGAGTGATTTTAACACCGGAGTTATGTGCTCCGTCCTTTTGGAACCTGTTAAGATCCTAGCTGCTGTATTCTGAACAAGCTGGAAGCTCTTCAAAGAGGTTTTACGGCACGCTGCCAGTAAAGCGTTACAGTAGTCCGCGTCACTTTTCGGATATTCCTGATTTTAGCGATGTTCCGTAAGTGGAAGTACGCGGTTTTAGTTTCTTGGTTTATATAAGCCTTAAAGGAGAGGTCTTCATCAAAATGACTCCAAGATCCCTCACAGTGTTGCTGGGTATAATACTGACATTATCAGAGTGATTATCTGGTCAGAGTCAGGCTCTCTGGACCGAGTAGGATCACTTCTGTTTTCTCCGGGTAAAGCTGTAGAAAGTTAAGAGTCATCCATGTTTTAAGGTCCTTTATGCAGCTTTATAAAGCTGTGTGTCATCTGCGTCACAGCTTCCACCGGCCCCACTTGGCCCTACTCTTTGTTTTGGGCAAATATTTATGAAAATAATCCTTAATTACTACTTTGCTCTATTTAGCTCTACTCTACTCACAACAAACCAGTATCCAGGGAAATTACTTGGTAACCACGGCTTCCAGCTGCATCTCGGTCAGTTAGAACACTTTAGTACCAGCTCGGCCTGGATAGAACCAGGGCCAATAGGGACTAAAGAAGGACTTGGTACTGGTTAAACAGTGGATACAGTCCCATCAGGGCAGAGTCTACTCGAGTAGATACAGAAGATAGAGTAGATGATCGAGCCTATGTAGTGGCAGCAGCTCTAATGCGAGCTCCCTGTCCACAGTGTAATGGACATTTAACAGCTCCATTAGTTACAGTTGTGATTTTTCTGAACGACAACACGAGGAAATCCTGATCACCTCATCCAATAGAGACCAGAGAGAGACCAGAGAGAGACCAGAGAGAGAGACCAGAGAGAGACCAGAGAGAGACCAGAGTGAGACCAGAGAGAGACCAGAGTGAGACCAGAGAGAGACCAGAGAGGGAGACCAGAGAGAGACCAGAGAGAGACCAGAGAGAGACCAGAGAGAGAGACCAGAGAGAGACCAGAGAGAGACCAGAGTGAGACCAGAGAGAGACCAGAGTGAGACCAGAGAGAGACCAGAGAGAGACCAGAGAGAGACCAGAGAGAGAGACCAGAGAGAGACCAGAGAGCAAGACCAGAGAGAGACCAGAGAGAGACCAGAGAGAGACCAGAGAGAGACCAGAGAGAGACCAGAGAGAGAGACCAGGGAGAGACCAGAGAGAGAGACCAGAGAGAGACCAGAGAGAGACCAGAAGAGACCAGAGAGACCAGGGAGAGACCAGAGAGAGAGACCAGGGAGAGACCAGAGAGCAAGACCAGAGAGAGACCAGAGAGAGACCAGAGAGAGAGACCAGAGAGAGACCAGAGAGCAAGACCAGAGAGAGACCAGAGAGAGAGCAGAGAGAGAGACCAGAGAGAGACCAGAGAGAGAGACCAGAGAGAGACCAGAGAGAGACCAGAGAGAGAGACCAGAGAGAGACCAGAGAGAGACCAGAGAGAGACCAGAGAGAGAGACCAGAGAGAGACCAGAGAGAGACCAGAGAGAGAGACCAGAGAGAGACCAGAGAGCAAGACCAGAGAGAGACCAGAGAGAGACCAGAGAGAGAGACCAGAGAGAAACCAGAGAGAGAGACCAGGGAGAGACCAGAGAGAGAGACCAGAGAGAGACCAGAGAGAGACCAGAAGAGACCAGAGAGACCAGGGAGAGACCAGAGAGAGAGACCAGGGAGAGACCAGAGAGAGACCAGAGAGCAAGACCAGAGAGAGACCAGAAAGAGACCAGAGAGAGACCAGAGAGAGACCAGAGAGAGACCAGAGAGAGACCAGAGAGAGAGACCAGGGAGAGACCAGAGAGAGACCAGAGAGAGACCTGAGAGAGACCTGAGAGAGACCAGAGAGAGACCAGGGAGAGACCAGAGAGAGAGACCAGAGAGAGACCAGAGAGAGACCAGAGAGAGACCAGAGAGACCAGGGAGAGACCAGAGAGAGACCAGAGAGAGACCAGAGAGAGACCAGAGAGAGACCAGGGAGAGACCAGAGAGAGAGACCAGAGAGAGACCAGAGAGAGACCACTACCAGACAGAACCTTCCTTATTGTGACTCAAATATGCATCAGTGACATCACATCTTTTCGACCAAAACCAGATGGAAACTACCAGAATAAGATCCAGAGTGACTGTCGGCCATGACACCTGATGAGTCTGTTTGCTCCGTATTAAAACCTTGAATCCAATCATTTCCTGAAGAACAGAGCGAGTGTCTGAGGCCCGGCTTTATCACCGCATTCTCTCCACAACCTGTTCCGCCGCAGAAATAATTGCAGGATCTTTTCATGTTTTCAATTAAGCGCTTCTTTCTTCTCCTCCTCCGTCGACAGCTGAGCTAATTACCAAGGAAAAACAACCTCTGTCAGACTCTGATGGTTCCTTCGCCTGTCTGAGCCACACGCCTAATGTCAGAGACCAGAGAGAGAGACCAGAGAGAGACCAGAGAGAGACCAGAGAGAGACCTGAGAGAGACCAGAGAGAGACCAGAGAGAGAGACCAGAGAGAGACCAGAGAGACAGACCTGAGAGAGACCAGAGAGAGAGACCAGAGAAAGACCAGAGAGAGAGATCAGGGAGAGAGACCAGCGATAGACCAGAGAGAGACCAAAGAGAGACCAGAGAGAGAGACCAGAGAGAGAGACCAGAGAGAGACCAGAGAGAGACCAGAGCGAGAGACCAGAGAAAGACCAGAGAGAGATCAGAGAGAGAGACCAGAGAGAGACCAGAGAGAGAGACCAGAGAGAGACCAGAGAGAGATCAGAGAGAGAGACCAGAGAGAGACCAGAGAGAGACCAGAGAGAGATCAGAGAGAGAGACCAGAGAGAGACCAGAGAGAGACCAGAGAGAGACCAGAGAGAGAGACCAGAGAAAGACCAGAGAGAGATCAGAGAGAGAGACCAGAGATAGACCAGAGAGAGACCAGAGAGAGAGACCGGAGAGAGACCAGAGAGAGACCAGAGAGAGACCAGAGAGAGACCAGAGAGAGACCAGAGAGACTAGAGAGAGACCAGAGAGAGACCAGAGAGACCACAGAGACCAGAGCGAGACCAGAGAAAGACCAGAGAGAGAGACCAGAGACCAGAGAGACCAGAGAGAGACCAGAGAGAGAGACCAGAAAGAGGCACAACCTAAAGCCCAGTTAAAGTGGCCCTCAGCCCAGAAAGCGATTAGATCCGGGTTTTAGTCTGTTTTAATCTGAATCTGAATCTGATGGGGGGGGGGTCGATGTGGGGGATGAGGACGTGATGTTGTGCTGTTGTAATTCCACACCCAACCACATGATGGCGATCTCGCAGGAGTTCCCTAGACACCAAAGCAGTCGCATTATAAAGTCACTGCTACTTTCCTCTCTTGAGAACAAAAACGAGCCAAGCTGTTAGAACCCATGACCTCTGTGTCTGCTGTGGGTTCATGAGACCGTTTTATGGACTCATGTTTCATCATTTCACTGTGATGCTGTGAACAAACACACAGTTCTTATTGGAAACATAGTTATTATTAAAGTGTATTTGTGAACAAACAGCAAAACTATAAGTGATAAATATCTGAGAAACTATTTAAACAGAAACTTAAGGTAGTCACTGAGGTTAGTATTAGCGCCATCAGCTGGACCGAGGGTTGTACTACAGCTGCATTTGAGCTGAAACAGGTGGAGAAATGAACCCTTGGGACCGTGGGCCACTTGGTTTCATTTGTGAAAATCTATGTGACTGTGCCCAGAGGGACCAGGAAGAGTCATCAGAGAGAGACCAGAGAGAGACCGGGGAGAGACCAGGGAGAGAGCAGAGAGAGAGACCAGAGAGAGACCGGGGAGAGACCAGAGAGAGACCAGAGAGAGACCAGATGTATGTTTAGTATTGGTGACGCAGCGTCCACATTTGGAGCTGACCTTTCACAGTTTAGCTCAGACTGAAGTGAGAAAAGTCCAGGAGAAGCTGTCAGGGTTTACAACTGCTCTGTTTACAAATATATTCTGTATTTATTTAACCTGGATTAACCCGGAGGACCTCAGTGAGATTAATAATCTCCTTTTCAGAGTGTCCTGGACCAGAGGCAACACATTCAACATTAACAACATACAGAAATACAATAACACTGAGAAAACACATGAAAGCCTCAAAGAAACAATAAAACACTAAAAGTAAGAAATATTTCATATAAACAGGTTCAACATGCAGAATGTTCCAGAACAACAAGTAGATCCTTTAAGCCCTCCTGGGTACTACAGGTCCAGGCCTCCTGGGTACTACAGGTCCAGCCCTCCTGGGTACTATAGGTCCAGCCCTCCTGGGTACTACAGGTCCAGGCCTCCTGGGTACTATAGGTCCAGCCCTCCTGGGTACTACAGGTCCAGCCCTCCTGGGTACTATAGGTCCAGCCCTCCTGGGTACTATAGGTCCAGCCCTCCTGGGTACTACAGGTCCAGCCCTCCTGGGTACTATAGGTCCAGCCCTCCTGGGTACTACAGGTCCAGGCCTCCTGGGTACTATAGGTCCAGGCCTCCTGGGTACTATAGGTCCAGCCCTCCTGGGTACTATAGGTCCAGCCCTCCTGGGTACTATAGGTCCAGCCCTCCTAGGTACTACAGGTCCAGGCCTCCTGGATACTTTAATCACAGGTGATAAAGTGATAATGCTTCAGGTGCATAAGGTGCAAATCTGGGGCAGTAAAGTCCAGAGGCATAAAAATAACATTTAACTTTTGACACAAATTTGTCAGCGATGTTGAAATAATGAACAGGAGTGGTCCTAAGATGGATCCCTGTGGCACACACACAGACACACACACACAGATACACACACACGCACACACCCACACACACACGTACGCACATGCGCACGCACGCACCCACAAAAGTACAAAAGCAACAAAATATATAACTGAAAGATTACCGCTAGTTCTGCGTCTGAATGTGGTCCGAGCATAGATAGTCCGAGCGTAGATAGTCCGAGCGTAGATAGTCCGAGCGTAGATAGTCCGAGCGTAGATAGTCCGAGCGTAGATAGTCCGAGCGTAGATAGTCCGAGCGTAGATAGTCCGAGCGTAGATAGTCTGAGCGTAGATAGTCCGAGGCGGTCCCGCAGGTCTCTCCCTCAGACCAGTCTCTCCAGAGGATACGATGTAAGCTAGCTCTGTTCAGGGCTTGGTTTCTTCTTTATCATGTTTTGGCTTTAGTTCCTCTTCTCTTTCTCACTGTTGTGTGGTTTGGGCTGTTTTGCTGTGTCTGCAGTTACAGCCAGAGGAGTTATAGCCACTTATGCTAATATGCTACTGTGTTTAGCAGCGCTGTAGAGGCTAGAGGACGCAGCCTCGTTCTGTGATTGGAGGAGAGCGAGCGTCACGCTAAAGTCTCTACTCAGCACTTTTTACGCCTGAGTTCATACACAAGAATCAATGAGCTCAAGTTTTACATTAAAGTACGGATTATAATACAACCTGTATGCAGTAATAAGCATTTTAATAAACACCTAAAAAAAATAAACCGGGTATAGCTTCTTTATTCTTGTTATCCTGAGTGCGGTGCGAGAGGAGAGAGAGTCCGGGGGAGGAGAGGGTCTGACGCGGTCTTGCTCCGTGCTCACAGCGGCTGCAGGGCTCCACAGACCGGGCTGCTTTCTCCGCGCTGCCTGCTCCTCTGTCCCCGGCTTAACACGCACTACACCCGGACACTTCTGCACGACCCGCGGAGGGGAGACGGACCGAGGTGAGGCCATGGGGTGGTTTGATGGAGAGACCTGTTCCAAAGCGAGTGATGGAGACGGAACTGTGTTGATATTTGTAGGATCTGGGTCCGGGTCCGGGTCCGGGTCCGGGTCCGGGTCTGGGTCCAGGTCCAGGTCTAGGTCTAGGTCTGGGTCATCTTTGGGAGTTACTTTGTGATTGCAGAGATGTTTGAACTTGTGACTGAAGGTTTGCTGTAGACCTGGTCCAGACCTGGTTCAGTCCCGAATAATTCCTGGTTTAGACTTCATTCAATCCTGGTTTTGTACTTATTTAGACCTGGTTTGGACCTGTTTTAGTCTTGCTTTAGTCCTGCTCTAGACCTGGTTCAGTTCTTGTTTAGTCTTAACCTGCTTGAGTCCTGGTTCAGACCTGGTTCAGACCTGGTTTGGACATGGTTTGGACCTGGTTCAGACCTGGTTCAGACCTGGTTCAGACCTGGTTCAGACCTGGTTTGGACATGGTTTGGACCTGGTTCAGACCTGGTTTATTGCTGTGTGGATGGAGCTAAACCTACAGACTGTCACAGACCGGACACAAGCTGCACATGAACCGTAACCAAGAGCTTTGGATTTGTTTAATGAGAAAAGACTGCAACATGATCCTCCTGCTTTAGTCCTGCTTTAGACCTGCTTTAGTCCTGCTTTAGACCTGCTTTAGTCCTGCTTTAGACCTGCTTTAGTCCTGCTTTAGTCCTGCTTTAGACCTGCTTTAGTCCTGCTTTAGACCTGCTTTAGTCCTGCTTTAGTCCTGCTTTAGACCTGCTTTAGTCCTGCTTTAGACCTGCTTTAGACCTGCTTTAGACCTGCTTTAGTCCTGCTTTAGACCTGCTTTAGACCTGCTTTAGACCTGCTTTAGTCCTGCTTTAGTCCTGCTTTAGACCTGCTTTAGTCCTGCTTTAGTCCTGCTTTAGACCTGCTTTAGTCCTGCTTTAGTCCTGCTTTAGACCTGCTTTAGTCCTGCTTTAGACCTGCTTTAGTCCTGATTTCTGTATTATCTGAATCTTTATGAATTATTGTTAATTTTCTTGCATTATGTAAAAGAGTTAATTTATTATTTAACTCAAATGTAGAAAGATCAAGTAGCAATCATAGACTGTATATATTAACAGGCGTAGTCAGGCCGGTCTCTGCCGTTCTAACTAATGGGCCAAAAATTGGGCTTTCATGGAGTGATTCAAAATGGCCGCGGGGGCTGGAAAATGTGAAAAAACACATCTGTGCACGAGCCTCATTCATTTAAACGAGAGACTTCGAAAGTCCACAGCGACTAAACTAGACTGGTCCAGAACACACCCCTCAGCATTGACACACATGTGGAACGGAGCTTTGGGCCAAGAGCCAACTTTTGAGCCAATGCTATATGTTAGCATTGGCTAATTCTTATTCCAGGTCCACCCCCTTAGGCCCGGGGTGGTATTGCAGCATGTCAGCGCACGTCATTTTGGCCACTTTTGAGCCGGGACCCGCCCACACTGGTAACAGCAGATACCATCAAGGCCATCAGGACCATGAGGGTCCAGAATGAGGTCTATTGTGGCGCCACTAACGTCAGAAATGTGTTTTAATACAACAACAACCAACAAAGAAAGAACACAGGCAGTGGTCTAATGCCGCTTTTCCACAGTCCTAGTACGGTACGTTTTGACTCTACACGGCGCGCCATGGCCCAGTTCGCGTGCTTTTCCATCAAAAATAGTACCCCCAGGGCCAGTATGACCTCAGCGTTGTCAGACGACGTCATTTACATGTGACGCGTAACTAGTACTGGTGCGGTGCATGGATTTATTATAATACCAGAGCAAGTGTTTAATAGAAAACTCAGTACAGCACGAGTAGTTTTTGAAAATGCTTATGTCTTAAAAGAATGACTCAGACACTGTGAAGTCAATGGTGCTGACTGCTCTGTACAATCTGAATGGACCTGTAGCAACCGCAGCCTGTGTAGCAGAGGAGGAGGGCTGCATGTCCGAGGACACTGCTAGGCTAAAGCTAATGCTAGCGCTAGCTCGAGACTCAGCTCAGTCACTAACCCTGGATTCCAAAGCTACAACTGTACTACACTTCACACATCTATCACTACCCTCAGAGGCGGATCCAGGGTTTAAACTCATCATATGGCAACTCGAGCAGTAAAGGACCGAGGGAGAGACAGCGGCAGCCATAGGGGTAGCGAGGTAGCGGCTAAGCTAGGCTAGGCTAGGGCAGGGCTAGGCTGGTCCGGACTCGGGTCCGGACTCGGGTCCGGACTACAGCAGACTCCGAGACCAGACAAACAATCGATACCCAAACCTCAGCTACAATAATAATAAATTAATGAAACACAGTCTTGATACAATCACAGATTTATTGAAAACAAAAGTAAAGTGCAAAACTAACAGTTTACAAAGTAAAAAGTACGTATGTCTGAGACCAGGTCAAGACCAGGTCCAGACCAGGTCCAGATGAGGAGAATACTCCGGTCACTCATTACTCGTTGGTAATCTCCACACTTATGGGAAGGGATTCTCATACAAATATACACACAACAACTTAAATACAAGCACAAAACAGAATGACAACACATGAATACTGCAGATATTACGAGATAAAGCACAGTAGCACAGGGAGGACGTTAGCTTAGCTGCTATCGATAGTTAAATGTAGCTAAATGGGGGTCGGTCCGATGTTCCCCGGGTCCGGTGTTCCCCGGACACCGGACCCGGGGAACATCGGACCTTCCAAACGCCGGAGGGCCCGGTGTTCCCCGACTGCGGGCCTCGCTCATAGACATGTTATTGCTGCGCGCGGATAATGGAGCAACAAGCGGCTTTCGCTCATAACTAGTCTAGGGCTACTGAATACTTTATATTATAAGCCTAGTAGATCTCGCATTGTAGTAGCCAACTACATTTTTACAACCTACCACCTCAGAATAAGAACGTGTTGCAGATAAGAAAAGTAAAATTAGCTCCACCACCTTTTCTTTTTGGAAACATATCTTCCTCCGTTCATCTTCGCAACAGTATTGGCGCCAGGTTTGCAATTTTGGGTAGGCCTGCAGATTAGTAAGTAGGCCAAATTCGCTTGCAAACTACAAGGGCTAACTGGAATTGGGGTTTCAAAGAATATGGTTCAAACGCACACACGCACGCACACGCACTCACGCGCGCACATACACACAAGCTCATTTATGAAACTTGCGTTGAAAAAGGTGTACATTTTGGGTGTATATTCCATTTACGCAATTTGCCAAAATGTTTTGATACATTAGAAAAATCCTTCTTGAATTGTAGAAGTGAATAAATATAGATTGATTGAATGAATGAATTAATTCATATATATTATGCAGCGGTGGCTCTGAATGAAGCGTCTGCAGCGTCTTGGACGCAGCCTGGCTTGGGGTAGAAGTGCGCATTGAGGCGCTGTACACTTCAGAGAGCGTTTGCGGTCCAGATTTCACAAAGAAACTCTGGAGCCAAAACTTCTGCACATGTGGCGCGACCTCTCACGGCACTCGCTGCGCACTCTGGACAGGGCAGTGAGACGTTTGAGTGAGCAATACCATCGATGCGTTATTGGGGTGTGTGTCTGTGTGAGGCTTACACAAATCTAATGAAATAACACATTGCTTTAGATGTGAATGAGGAATACAAATAGCCGTGCGTAATTACGCAGCGCAGAGCCTGCCACAGCAATAGATGGGTCACACATCCCTGTTGCGTATGTGTATTTATATAGAGCCTTTGACTGTCCAGGATCACAAAGCGCTTCACATTTTAAAAACATACAGATCAAAATAATACACACACAAGTCAGATTTAATAGAGGGTCCTCATCATGAGCTGTGATTTATTCGAAGTTTGCGTGTTTCCATTAGACTTTTTCTGATGCGCAAATTCAAATTTTGAAACATGATCCTCAATGAAAACACAGCATATAATTTTGCCAGAGGGAATATGTTTATTGTTGTACATATCTTGAATTTCATGCGTGTTGTGCCGAAGGTTGAGTTCAGCGTATAGATTTACACTACCTCCAGACCTGGCGTTTATTATTTGCGTATTGTACGCTCACGTCCAGATTGATAAATGCGGAAAAGTGTAATATTTTGCGTACGCCTCATTTACCCTGATTTGGCCGTACGCAGGTTTCATACATGAGGCCCACAGTGAGGCCCACAGTGAGGCCCACAGTGAGGCCTACAGTGAGGCCCACAGTGAGGCCTACAGTGAGGCCCACAGTGAGGCCTACAGTGAGGCCCACAGTGAGGCCTACAGTGAGGCCCACAGTGAGTCTCACACAGGCCTAGAGTTTACCTCATCAGTGCGAGGCCAGCCTGACCCTCCTCCTCTGGGACCTACGGGCCCGGGCCTCTGGCTACTCTACCTCACAAAGTTCACGCTGAACTTTCTTAAAATTAAAATGAAAAAGGCTGCTCTGTTGTGAATGCTTTGACAGCGTTGTCAATCTTTAAGACGAGGAATAGCTGGTTGGTCTCGCTTCACGCTGTGTGATATGATATTGGACAAAATTGTTCAGCCAATAAACAGGACTATATTTGAAGCAACGTAGGAACGTGATGACGCTCAGGGGGTTATATTATTATTATAATTATTATTATTATTCCCCCCACTGTAGGAGCCAATACACTTTTCAATATTTTTGAATTCTGAGCGTTTCCAATTGTATTTAAAAATGGGAAACCTAATTAAACAATCATGAATTGAGCTTTTCCGATCTTATTTTACACTGATTCCTTTGATCATTTTTTTCTTAAAGTTCAAGTTGTAAAAATGCTATGTTTGAATTGGTTATTTACATTTTAACTGTGAGTGACACGTAAGGCGGGGCAACAATGCACAATGACGCACGCATTCTGAATAGAATAATATGTATTAATATCTCTAAAACTAAAAGAGCATATTCAAGTTTTACAACAAAAACGACGTCATATGCGTGTCCATTATGCGTAAAAGCACAGTGCCCTCAGCAAAACCACGTATTTGGAAAAACTATAGGCTAACAGATGTAGTAGCTCTAGTTTCAATCGTCCTCATTTTATTCAGTCAGACTTGTCAAATATAGATGCCCATGGGTGAGCAAGGGGAGATAACATGCCCAAAACATGCCCAAAAATATCCTGCATAGACTCAAGCTGCGATCAGCTGAAATATGAGCACACAAAGAGCGAGAGGGAAAAAGAAAAGTAAATAGGCTTAGGCTAGTTAGTATTTTTTCTCTCACAAAGGTTGGCGCGGATCATATGTCATCTTTCGCGGAGGAGGAAACATCAAACATCAAAGCGCGCACGCGGGGAACAGCGGGACTAGTCTCGTTGTTGAAGTCCCGATGTTCCCCCACTTCTATTGGCGGGGGAACATCGGACCCGGGGAACATCGGGACTTTTTAATACGCGAAGTACCGATGTTCCCCGGGTCCGATGTTCCCCCGCCTATAGAAGTGGGGGAACATCGGACCCGGGGAACATCGGACCCGGGGAACATCGGTACGCACCCGCTAAATGTAGCTAGCTCACTGTGTACAACAGACAATCAAACATGTACACAGTAAATACATTTCAGTGAGAGCTTTAACGGGATTCGTAGCTAACCAGTTATTTCAGGATTACCACAGACTAGTCACAAATCCAGAGCTGGGTGATCTCCTGAAAACTGTGTTGAGCCTCGAGCTGCCTTTGAATTCTTTCTTTTGGCCTGAAGAGAGGAACGTGTGGACCTCTTCCACCGACCAGGACCAGGACCTTTGGGGCTTTCTGTGCAATTCCATTTCTCTGGAGTGAGGAGGACGTACTGTAGCCGAAGCAGAGCCGAGCAGAGCGGCCGGTTTTAAAGATGGCGGTTTAGTTGTTTTTCCCAAAGGGTCAGATGTCGCTTCCAGTGACGACACTCGTTGACCAATCAGTGTAAGGCAGTGGGCCGACGTGACGTCATGGCACGGGTACTATGGGGATGGAACCACGGCTGAGGCAGTACGGAAAAGTACTCAAATCTCCCATACCATCCACTAGTGGAAACGCAAAATAACCGTGCTGAAGCTTACTGTACTGTACCGTACTGATACTGTGGAAAAACGGCATTAGACCTGGGTCAGACCTGGGTCAGACCTAGTTTAGACCTGGGTCAGATCTGGTTCAGTCCTAGTTTAGACCTGGGTTAGATCTGGTTCAGTCCTAGCTCAGACCTAGTTCAGACCGAGTTCAGATCTGGTTCAGACCTGGTTCAGACCTAGTTCAGACCTGGTCCAGACCTGGTTCAGACCTAGTTCAGACCTAGTTCAGACCTAGTTCAGACCTGGTTCAGACCTGGGTCAGACCTGGTCCAGACTCACACATTTGCATGTGTGAGTCCCGGTCCATTGGACTGAGTCAGGCCTGAGTGAACACAACACCACGTCTTTTATAAAGTCTCATGTTACAAACATCAAAGACCTGAGGTTGGTGTTTATCTCTGTCCATGCTTTTATCAGGAAGCAGGTCTAAAGCAGGTCTAAAGCAGGTCTAAATTAGGTCTAGAGCAGGTCTAAAGCAGGTCTAAAGCAGGTCTAAAGCAGGCCTAAAGCAGGTCTAAAGCAGGTCTAAAGCAGGTCTAGAGCAGGTCTGAAGCAGGCCTCAAGCAGGTCTAAAGCAGGACTAAAGCAGGTCTAAAGCAGGTCTAAAGCAGGTCTAAAGCAGGACTAAAGCAGGTCTAAAGCAGGCCTAAAGCAGGTCTAAAGCAGGACTAAAGCAGGTCTAAAGCAGGTCTAAAGCAGGTCTGAAGCAGGCCTCAAGCAGGTCTAAAGCAGGACTAAAGCAGGTCTAAAGCAGGTCTAAAGCAGGTCTAAAGCAGGACTAAAGCAGGTCTAAAGCAGGACTAAAGCAGGTCTAAAGCAGTGTCAGGGATGAAGCAGACAGAGACGGATCATGGTGCGCTAAACTCTGGAAGTTTATTTAAGTTTCTCTCAAGTTCCAGTGGTTTCCATTGCTTCTTTCTCTCAGACAGAATAAAGTCAGTACACAGGTTATATAGTAATTGTCACGTCACACATCGAAAGACGTTCGTGTCACACAGAGACAGTCACATAATAGTCAAAAAGACTGAGTCCTTGCACAGTCCTGCACGTAGGCCATATTGCTATCTAATACTGACAGCAGGTCTAAAGCAGGACTAAAGCAGGACTAGCAGGTCGGTTTATCCTCAGGTTCAGTCCAGCTCGGACCAGCTCGGCTCTGGGGGCCTCTTTGTCACATGTTGTTGGACACAGTCTCAGACAAAAGAAACATGAGAAGTCCCTGAGGAGTCGTGTTCCGAAGCCACAGTCGCCCCGAGGCAGAGAAACTACACACTGTGACATCACTCCATTTGATCTGCTTCAGTCTGACATAAACAATGAACCTGAAGACCTGCCTTAGTCCTGCTTTAGACCTGCTTTAGACCTGCTTTAGACCTGCTTTAGTCCTGCTTTAGCCCTGCTTTAGACCTGCTTTAGACCTGCTTTAGACCCGCTTTAGACCTGCTTTAGTCCTGTTTTAGACCTGCTTTAGTCCTGCTTTAGACCTGCTTTAGTCCTGCTTTAGCTCTGCTTTAGCTCTGCTTTAGACCTGCTTTAGACCCGCTTTAGACCCGCTTTAGTCCTGTTTTAGACCTGCTTTAGTCCTGCTTTAGTCCTGCTTTAGACCTGCTTTAGACTTGCTTTAGTCCTGATTTAGACCCGCTTTAGACCTGCTTTAGACTTGCTTTAGTCCTGCATTAGACCCGCTTTAGACCTGCTTTAGTCCTGTTTTAGACCTGCTTTAGTCCTGCTTTAGTCCTGTTTTACACGGTCACTGATCACTTTTTTGCAACAGAAGCGATAGGTCTTTCCCGTTGAACAAACTTTCTCCATCTTAGAAAAACATGTGTAACATCTTCTGAATGATCCCTGTGAGTCACTATTGGACTCTTTGGGCTGAGAGCTGATTGGCTGAGAGAGGGCGGTCCTCTCTGTTCTCACTTTTCTGTCTGATAAAGCAGATGTAAAGATGTGACAGAGACAAAAAAACATGAAAACTAGTGATGGAACTGTTTTAGATCCAGGAACTAGACTTGGGTCTATCACAGAGTCTACCACAGAGTCTACCACAGAGTCTATCACAGAGTCTATCACAGAGTCTATCACAGAGTCTATCACAGAGTCTACCACAGAGTCTACCACAGAGTCTACCACAGAGTCTATCACAGAGTCTACCACAGAGTCTACCACAGAGTCTATCACAGAGTCTACCACAGAGTCTATCACAGAGTCTATCACAGAGTCTATCACAGAGTCTGTCACAGAGTCTATCACAGAGTCTACCACAGAGTCTATCACAGAGTCTATCACAGAGTCTATCACAGAGTCTATCACAGAGTATACCACAGAGTCTATCACAGAGTCTACCACAGAGTCTACCACAGAGTCTACCACAGAGTCTACCACAGAGTCTATCACAGAGTCTATCACAGAGTCTACCACAGAGTCTACCACAGAGTCTACCACAGAGTCTACCACAGAGTCTACCACAGAGTCTATCACAGAGTCTACCACAGAGGCTATCACAGAGTCTATCACAGAGTCTACCACAGAGTCTATCACAGAGTCTATCACAGAGTCTATCACAGAGTCTATCACAGAGTCTATCACAGAGTCTATCACAGAGTCTACCACAGAGTATCACAGAGTCTATCACAGAGTCTATCACAGAGTCTACCACAGAGTCTACCACAGAGTCTATCACAGAGTCTACCACAGAGTCTATCACAGAGTCTATCACAGAGTCTATCACAGAGTCTATCACAGAGTCTACCACAGAGTCTATCACAGAGTCTATCACAGAGTCTATCACAGAGTCTACCACAGAGTCTATTACAGAGTCTATCACAGAGTCTATCACAGAGTCTATCACAGGGTCTATCACAGGGTCAACCACAGAGTCTACCACAGAGTCTACCACAGAGTCTATCACAGAGTCTATCACAGAGTCTATCACAGAGTCTACCACAGAGTCTATTACAGAGTCTATCACAGAGTCTACCACAGAGTCTATCACAGAGTCTATCACAGAGTCTACCACAGAGTCTATCACAGAGTCTATCACAGAGTCTATCACAGAGTCTATCACAGAGTCTACCACAGAGTCTACCACAGAGTCTACCACAGAGTCTATCACAGAGTCTATCACAGAGTCTACCACAGAGTCTATCACAGAGTCTACCACAGAGTCTATCACAGAGTCTACCACAGAGTATCACAGAGTCTATCACAGAGTCTATCACAGAGTCTATCACAGAGTCTACCACAGAGTCTACCACAGAGTCTACCACAGAGTCTACCACAGAGTCTATCACAGAGTCTACCACAGAGTCTACCACAGAGTCTATCACAGAGTCTACCACAGAGTCTATCACAGAGTCTATCACAGAGTCTATCACAGAGTCTGTCACAGAGTCTATCACAGAGTCTACCACAGAGTCTATCACAGAGTCTATCACAGAGTCTATCACAGAGTCTATCACAGAGTATACCACAGAGTCTATCACAGAGTCTATCACAGAGTCTACCACAGAGTCTACCACAGAGTCTATCACAGAGTCTATCACAGAGTCTACCACAGAGTCTACCACAGAGTCTACCACAGAGTCTATCACAGAGTCTACCACAGAGTCTATCACAGAGTCTATCACAGAGTCTACCACAGAGTCTATCACAGAGTCTATCACAGAGTCTATCACAGAGTCTATCACAGAGTCTACCACAGAGTCTATCACAGAGTCTACCACAGAGTCTATCACAGAGTCTACCACAGAGTATCACAGAGTCTATCACAGAGTCTATCACAGAGTCTACCACAGAGTCTACCACAGAGTCTATCACAGAGTCTACCACAGAGTCTATCACAGAGTCTATCACAGAGTCTATCACAGAGTCTATCACAGAGTCTATCACAGAGTCTACCACAGAGTCTATCACAGAGTCTATCACAGAGTCTATCACAGAGTCTACCACAGAGTCTATTACAGAGTCTATCACAGAGTCTACCACAGAGTCTATCACAGAGTCTATCACAGGGTCTATCACAGGGTCAACCACAGAGTCTACCACAGAGTCTACCACAGAGTCTATCACAGAGTCTATCACAGAGTCTATCACAGAGTCTACCACAGAGTCTATTACAGAGTCTATCACAGAGTCTACCACAGAGTCTATCACAGAGTCTATCACAGAGTCTACCACAGAGTCTATCACAGAGTCTATCACAGAGTCTATCACAGAGTCTATCACAGAGTCTATCACAGAGTCTATCACAGAGTCTACCACAGAGTCTATCACAGAGTCTATCACAGAGTCTACCACAGAGTCTATCACAGAGTCTATCACAGAGTATCACAGAGTCTATCACAGAGTCTATCACAGAGTCTATCACAGAGTCTACCACAGAGTCTACCACAGAGTCTATCACAGAGTCTACCACAGAGTCTATCACAGAGTCTATCACAGAGTCTATCACAGAGTCTATCACAGGGTCTATCACAGAGTCTATCACAGAGTCTATCACAGAGTCTATCACAGGGTCTATCACAGGGTCAACCACAGAGTCTACCACAGAGTCTACCACAGAGTCTATCACAGAGTCTATCACAGAGTCTATCACAGAGTCTATCACAGAGTCTATCACAGAGTCTACCACAGAGTCTATTACAGAGTCTATCACAGAGTCTACCACAGAGTCTATCACACAGAGTCTATCACAGAGTCTACCACAGAGTCTATCACAGAGTCTATCACAGAGTCTATCACAGAGTCTATCACAGAGTCTATCACAGAGTCTATCACAGAGTCTATCACAGAGTCTATCACAGAGTCTATCACAGAGTCTATCACAGAGTCTACCACAGAGTCTATCACAGAGTCTACCACAGAGTCTATCACAGAGTCTACCACAGAGTATCACAGAGTCTATCATAGAGTCTATCACAGAGTCTATCACAGAGTCTATCACAGAGTCTACCACAGAGTCTACCACAGAGTCTACCACAGAGTCTACCACAGAGTCTATCACAGAGTCTACCACAGAGTCTACCACAGAGTCTATCACAGAGTCTACCACAGAGTCTATCACAGAGTCTATCACAGAGTCTATCACAGAGTCTGTCACAGAGTCTATCACAGAGTCTACCACAGAGTCTATCACAGAGCTATCACAGAGTATACCACAGAGTCTATCACAGAGTCTATCACAGAGTCTACCACAGAGTCTATCACAGAGTCTATCACAGAGTCTACCACAGAGTCTACCACAGAGTCTACCACAGAGTCTATCACAGAGTCTACCACAGAGGCTATCACAGAGTCTATCACAGAGTCTACCACAGAGTCTATCACAGAGTCTATCACAGAGTCTATCACAGAGTCTATCACAGAGTCTACCACAGAGTCTATCACAGAGTCTACCACAGAGTCTATCACAGAGTCTACCACAGAGTATCACAGAGTCTATCACAGAGTCTATCACAGAGTCTACCACAGAGTCTACCACAGAGTCTATCACAGAGTCTACCACAGAGTCTATCACAGAGTCTATCACAGAGTCTATCACAGAGTCTATCACAGAGTCTACCACAGAGTCTATCACAGAGTCTATCACAGAGTCTACCACAGAGTCTATTACAGAGTCTATCACAGAGTCTACCACAGAGTCTATCACAGAGTCTATCACAGGGTCTATCACAGGGTCAACCACAGAGTCTACCACAGAGTCTACCACAGAGTCTATCACAGAGTCTATCACAGAGTCTATCACAGAGTCTATCACAGAGTCTATCACAGAGTCTACCACAGAGTCTACCACAGAGTCTATCACAGAGTCTACCACAGAGTCTATCACAGAGTCTATCACAGAGTCTATCTCAGAGCCATGACCTCATCCAGATGGAGCGGCTACAGTTACGGATCAGGTTAGCCCCAGCACTTTGTTAGCAAACAGCGGCGCGCTAACCGGATTAGCCACAGTGGCTAACGGCTAACGCTGCTCTGCTCCAGTTTCCAGCAGCTGTCGTGTTCGCCGAGCACAGAAATAGCTCACGGAAAACGGGTTACGCTCCCGTTTAGCTGTCAATGATGAGGTTCATGTACGGAGCGTGTTAAAGCTCAGGTGCGTAACTTTAGGGTCAGAAATAATAGAGTTTGTTCAACAGAGAGTCCAGTGACAGTAAAATATTGTGAACAAATCAGACCACAACATTCTGTCTTCATCTTATTAGAAAACATGTTTTATTTTGTATAAGAATGATCCCTGTGAGTCACTATCTGACGCTTTGGGCTGAGAGATGATTGGCTGAGAGCTGATTGGCTGAGGGAGGGTGGTCCTCTCTGATCTAAAACATGAAATACATAAAAACTGTTTTACACACATAGACATGGGTTTATCACAGAGTTCTGTGGGTGTGGTCTGAAAGTTAAGGACCCGAGCTTTAATATTTCACACATTCTAAAAGGTATAAGTCCCCAGTGGCTGCGAGCGGCTTCACTGTGAGTTTGGATCAGAGTCGTGGGAATTGAACCATCGCCCAGAGAGACGTGTTCTCTGCTCTCATGAATACTACACAGGCCTGTCTTTGTGTGAGAGCTGAGGGGGGAGAGGGGGGAGAGAGGGGAGAGAGAGGGAGAGGAGAGAGAGGAGGCAGAGGAGAGAGAGGGGAGAGAGAGGGAGAGGAGAGAGAGGAGGGAATGAGAGAGGAGGGAGAGAGGGAAGAGAAGGGGGAGAGGAGAGACCTCAGTCCTGGGTCTACAGCCTCAGTCCTGGGTCTACACTCTCAGTCCTAGGTCTACAGCCTCAGTCCTGGGTCTACAGCCTCAGTCCTGGGTCCACAGCCTCAGTCCTGGGTCTACAGTCTCAGTCCTAGGTCTACAGCCTCAGTCCTGGGTCTACAGCCTCAGTCCTGGGTCTACAGTCTCAGTCCTGGGTCTACAGCCTCAGTCCTGGGTCTACAGTCTCAGTCCTGGGTCTACAGCCTCAGTCCTGGACCTACAGCCTCAGTCCTGGGTCTACAGCCTCAGTCCTGGGTCTACAGCCTCAGTCCTGGGTCTACAGTCTCAGTCCTGGGTCTACAGCCTCAGTCCTGGACCTACAGCCTCAGTCCTGGGTCTACAGCCTCAGTCCTGGGTCTACAGCCTCAGTCCTGGGTCTACAGTCTCAGTCCTGGGTCTACAGCCTCAGTCCTGGACCTACAGCCTCAGTCCTGGACCTACAGCCTCAGTCCTGGACCTACAGCCTCAGTCCTGGGTCTACAGCCTCAGTCCTGGGTCTACAGCCTCAGTCCTGGACCTACAGCCTCAGTCCTGGACCTACAGCCTCAGTCCTGGGTCTACAGCCTCAGTCCTGGGTCTACAGCCTCAGTCCTGGACCTACAGCCTCAGTCCTGGACCTACAGCCTCAGTCCTGGACCTACAGCCTCAGTCCTGGGTCTACAGCCTCAGTCCTGGACCTACAGCCTCAGTCCTGGGTCTACAGCCTCAGTCCTGGGTCTACAGCCTCAGTCCTGGGTCTACAGCCTTCTCCTCTCGGTGCTGAAAGTCCTGCTCTGATGTCCTCTGTCTGATCACTTCGGTTCAGCTCAGCGAGTTCAAAGTATGTGTGTGTGCGTGTGTGCATGTGCGCGTGTGTGCATGCGCGTGTGTGCATATGCGTGTGTGCGTGTGTGCGTGTGTGTGTGCGTGTGTGTGTGTGTGTGTGTGTGTGCGTGTGTAGATCAAAGTCCTCCGATCACAGAGCTGTTCTTCACCGGGGGCAGAGCTCAGGGGGAGGGGCCAGTTTGAGCCGTAACTCTAACCCCAACATTAAAGCTCGGGTACGTAACTTTGTGATTCATAATAAACAGGTCTTCTCTGCAGGAAGAGGTGTGTAAACGTGTGTCTATCATAGTTTTTAGTATTTTTGTCACATCTTTAGATCAACTTTTCTAACAGCGCAGAACAAACGCCCATATAAGGACATTGGCTCCAGCTATCTAATGTTCTAATGGGCCTCCTCCACATTAAGGCACTCTGGTGATGTCACACTCTGTCTCTGGTGTAAACTTTTCAGCTTCTTCAGAGAGAAAAGTGAAACAGAGAGAACGACCCTCTCTCAGCCAATCAGCTCTCAGCCAATCAGCTCTCAGCTCAAAGAGTCAAATAGTGACTCACAGGGATCTTTCTTACGTCAAAGATAACATTTTACTTTTACAATCCTCATTCTGTTGGACTCTCAACATGTAAAGCTTGTTTTCAAAAAGTTACGTACCCGAGCTTTAATGAGCCGACACAGAGCTCTCTGAATAAAACATGACTCACAGACGGCCTTAATCTCCTCAGTCTGATCCATTATGTGTCTATTCTGGGAGAGACCAGAGAGAGACCAGAGAGAGACCAGAGAGAGACCAGAGAGAGACCAGAGAGAGAGACCAGAGAGTGAGACCAGAGAGAGAGACCAGAGAGAGACCAGAGAGAGACCAGAGAGAGACCAGAGAGAGACCAGAGAGAGAGACCAGGGAGAGACCAGAGAGAGACCAGAGAGAGAGACCAGAGAGAGACCAGAGAGAGACCAGAGAGAGACTAGAGAGAGAGACCAGGGAGAGACCAGAGAGAGACCAGAGAGAGACCAGAGAGAGACCAAAGAGAGAGAGGCCAGAGAGAGACCAGAGAGAGTCCAGAGGGAGACCAGAGAGAGAGACCAGAGAGAGACCAGAGAGAGACCAAAGAGAGAGAGGCCAGAGAGAGACCAGAGAGAGTCCAGAGGGAGACCAGAGAGAGACTAGAGAGAGGCCAGAGAGAGGCCAGAGAGAGACCAGAGAGAGAGACCAGAGAGAGACCAGAAAGAGGCCAGAGAGAGGCCAGAGAGAGACCAGAGAGAGGCCAGAGAGAGACCAGAGAGAGACACCAGAGAGCGACACCAGAGAGAGTCCAGAGGGAGACCAGAGAGAGGCCAGAGAGAGACCAGTGAGAGAGAGAGAGGAGGGTGTGGATCCTGCTGTGTGGAGGTGACAGAGAGAACCAGCCGCTGAAGACAACTTTAACAAGCTCACTAGAAAACAAGATCCCTGTGAGTCACTATTTGACTATTTGGGCTGAGAGCTGATTGGCTGAGAGCTTTGGCTGAGAGCTGATTGGCTGAGAGTTGATCGGGTGAGAGCTGATTGGCTGAGAGCTGATTGGTTGAGAGCTGATTGGCTGAGAGCTCATTGGCTGAGAGCTGATTGGCTGAGAGCTGATTGGCTGAGAGAGGGTGGTCCTCTCTGTTTCACATGTTTCAACACTCAGCCCTAAGCTCTGAACTGGAAAAGGCAGAACTAATGTTTTGCACAAGATGAAGATAATGTCCTCTTTCATGTGACATCACCTCCACTTACGGCCCTGGGATGAAAGAGATGCATTATGGGAATGATATGGGGCTGTAATGGCAGCAAAGGCAGCAGTTATATTGTCTGCTCTATCACATGTTTGACAGAGTAATAGATACACATCTGTGGATCTGGCACCAGCTCTCATCAGCTCTCAGCTCTAAGAGTCAAATACCGACTCTCTGGGCTCTTTCTTACAGTTACCACACAAAAGATAACTAGTTTGATGCAGGACTAAACCAGGACTAAACCAAGACTAAACCAGGACTAAACCAGGACTAAACCAGGACTAAACTAGGACTGGGGCGAGCATGCGCCAATGTACTGACCATTGACTTGAATGGGCGGACATCTTGGAGACGGAGCACTGAGGTCTGTCCAAGCCCCATGATCCAAGATGGCGTCCTATTCAAATGAATGGCTTGTGCTCAGTAGTTCATGGGACTTCACGGAGACCGGGAGATTAGCAGAACAACAAAAGATGGCGCCTCGTACGGTCGACATGGCTTTTTGCTGCTCTCTTTTTCTTTTGTTTTTACTTTTTAACTGCGCATCTGGCTGTTCCTACACCCGTGAGGAACTTATGAACATCCGACCCACCGTCCCCATGGACCTATTGCCTGTTTTCTTGGCATCTGCGGCTGATTTAGTTCATGTTCTAGCCAAAAAAGTGTGGGTCCGTAAAAGGGGAAAGCGCGGAGGCTGCTCGTGCGTCTGAGGAGGAGAGGAGCACGGCTCTCCCCGGCATTTTTCTCTCCAACGTACGCTCACTGGGCAATAAGACGAACTCAGCCTGCTCATGAGAAGAAACAAGGACTTCATCCTGTGTCCTCTGCTTCACTGAGACCTGGTGTCCTCTGTGTCCTCTGCTTCACTGAGACCTGGTGTCCTCTGTGTCCTCTGCTTCACTGAGACCTGGTGTCCTCTGTGTCCTCTGCTTCACTGAGACCTGGTGTCCTCTGTGTCCTCTGCTTCACTGAGACCTGGTGTCCTCTGTGTCCTCTGCTTCACTGAGACCTGGTGTCCTCTGTGTCCTCTGCTTCACTGAGACCTGGCTAAATGAGCGGATCCCGGACTGCGCTCTGGAGCTGCAGGGCTTTGGGCTGTTCCGCGCGGATCGCCATTGTGCGCTCTCAGGGAAGAGCAGAGGCGGTGGGCTGTGTTTCTACGTCAATACAAACTGGTGTAACGATGTGACAGTGATCTCCAAGCACTGTTCTCCTGCTCTGGAATATCTTTTCATTCATTGTAAACCATTTTACTCCCCTCGTGAAATTGTTTCATTCATTCTTGCCTCTGTTTACATGCCGCCATGCGCGGACGCAGAGCAAGTACTGTGTATGGAACGTTTATACCCGGACTCTCTGATTATCATCCTGGGGGATTTTAATAAGGGAAATTTGAGCCAGGAATTACCCAAATACAGACAGTTTATCAAATGCCCGACCAGAGAGGAGAACACTCTGGATCACTGTTACACCACCGTGCGCGGAGCTTTTCGCGCTGTTCCCATCACTCCATGATTCATCTGGTTCCTGCTTACAGACAGAGACTAAAGCTCTCGAAACCTGCAGTGAGGAGC